TCCTCCTCCTCCTCCTCCTCCTCCTCCACCGGCCCCTCTGGCGGCGTGTCCGGCGCCGCCTTTAGCGCGCTCCGCGCGCCAGGGAAGAGGGTCCAGCGCCGATCCGACAGGTTCCGCGCGGACCTCCGAGTTTCTGTGTTTACACCATTGTTTGTTCCCCTATGGAAGGCCCGACCCTTTCTCTAGGGCCGGTTGTTTGTCGCATCGCCGGCAGCACGAGAGTTGTCTAATGTATCACGGGGTGATTTCCAGACGCTCCCGGAGGGAAAGACGACAGTGAAGTCATGCTTTTCCGCAAGGGTTTCGCCCCCTGTTGCAGGCCCCCTCTGTCGGATAATGGGGCATGCAAGAGCTATGTTTTGAGGTCTGGGCGCCCTCGTGAAGCAGCGTCGGAACTCCGAACGGGAGCCACTGGAGATATGAGCGATCTATCAAACACGTAATGCAATCGTAGATGCTGGCCTCTTGGGCCTCTCCTGGGGGTGCTCTTGGAGCGCTCTTGGGGGCCTCTTGGGGGCGTCTTGGGCCGTCTTGGGATCATCTTGGGCGCCTTGGAGCACTCTTGGGCCGTCTCGGAGGTCTGTTGTACCATCTTGGGGGCCTTTTATGAAGGATTGTGTTTTCGAAAGCGCAAATGCTGCGTACTTTAACAGGGTTTGTGATTTCGGGGGCGCGAGGAACGCGTGATTTACGAAGGATCGTGGCATCCGGGGCGCAAGTATTGCGTAATAGCTTAATTTGCAAGGGTTTGTGACCTCAGGGACGCGAGTGTGGTGTAATTTACAAGGGATTATGCCCTCGGGGGCGCGAGTATGGTGTAATTTACAAAGGGAATGTTGTTTCGGGAGCGCGTTTCTGAAGTATTTATTCGTGTCCCAGGACCTCCCCAATTCACAGTATGAGGCAGAAAGCAGGACTATAACATCGGAGACTGGAAACCGGAACTAGCGCAGGGAGCAGCAGGCCTAATCCACGGATCTTGGTGGCCCCACAAGGGGGCCGGGCCACCGGATTTATATACTTTACGCTGGGATGTGCTGGCATGCGCAGCCAGTTTCTCATCCTAAGCCGTTTTCTGACGGTCTTGGGGCCCGGCGAGGGCCTCCAGGGGCCGAAACCGACGAACAATTCAGTCTCGTTTTTTCCAGCCTTCCTATCTTTGGCCTTCCCCCCCTCCCTCGTCACTTTCGTCTCCTCCCCTTCCCCTTGCCTCTCTTCGGGCACCTGCGTGCGTCAGGCGAGCGCCAGGGATGCGCCAATGTCTTCTGGAAGGCGCCCCCCCTGCTGCCTTCATGCCGAGGGGGAGATTCAGGGTAGGTCCCCGGGCCTCAGTCTCGTCGTTCGGAGAGGAGCGAAGTATTGCAGCAGGGGCCCATTGCAGTACATGTCCTGGGATATGACGGAGATGAAGCGAGAGTTGCTGGAAGAGAGGAAGTGCAAATTCGAGGGATAGCACCCATCTCCTTTTTCCTGCTACTCCTCCTGCATTTCATCCTCCTCCGCCTCTTCATCGTCATCATCCTCATATCCATCATTATCATCATAGCTCTCCCAAACCTAGATATACGAGGTATCACACGTGACAGCCTTCCGTGCCCCCGCGAACAATCGCCACACATGATGCTCGACTGGCACGGTGACAGGACTTGCCGCCAGCAGCTGGATATGTAGATCTCTCTTTTATTGTCTCTCTTTCTCTCTCTATCTCTTTCCCCGCCCCCCCTCGCGTTGGTGGTGGTGCCGCTCTGAAAGGGGGGGGGCATTGGGCTCAGGCCGTGAAACCTCGATCCCTAATCGCCCCGGGGGCCTTCCCTGGTTCCCCCAGGAGACTCCAGGAGCTGTGCAGAAGTTTTACGAGGGCTCCCAGACGGCCCCCAGGCTTCCCCAGGAAGCTTCCAGCAGTACCAAGAGTGGCCCAGGAGGGCGCCAGAGTGCCCACACAGGGCTTGTAAGCGGACCACATCAGTCAAAGAACAATGAGGAATCCCAACAGGTTTCCTTTCTTTTCCGGACTTCGACTTGTTCAGAAAGTGTGGTTCCAAGATGGCCTCAGCGGCAGAAATGGTCTCGAAGAGAGTTGCAATATTGCCCAAGGATGGCACAGGACTGCCGCGAATACCAAGCCTCAGTGCGACTTCAGACTCCAACGCGTGGGCTTCCAAGCCAAATATCCGATGATCCGGACATGGCCTCTCTGGCGCGCTATGCGCTTGGCTCCATGGGAAGTAGAATTCAAGCCCGCGCGAAGCGCGCGCGATGGTTGTAGTTTTACATATTCATACTCGCACACACAGGCATATATACATATATATATATACATACATATATATATAGATATGTGCGCATCCGCCGACGCGTGCCATATCGGGCCTGGAACTTTCCGAATGGCCCGAGTGTGCTATGCGGAAGCTGCAAATGGTGGAAGGAGGTTTTAGTGGAGTGAGCGCGGGGGGGCAGGGGATGGGATGGGGGAAGGACTACGTCACCCGCGTCGGCGCGAAGATAATCGCGCGTCGCGGGCCAGAGCGGTTGGCCTCCTCCAAGGGGGCGGCGCGGGGGCGCGAGCACGCGAAGATAGGCGCGCGTCGCGCATCGCGCATTGCGGGGGGCGATGCACGACATCAGGTGATGGGGACGTGAAAAGCGGAGGGAGGATTGAGCAGGGAGGAAAGGATTGAAGGGAGAGAAGAGGGTGGAAGGTGGAGGATGCAGGCACGCTGCCATCACGCTCCCATGACGCTGCCATCTTGGCCCAGGCAGGAGTGTCATCTGCTATCGCGTACGCCATCGTAAGCAGGGGCTGAATGGACGAAGGGTGTCAGAGTGTCTTGTTTCCTCTCGCATCGCCCGTCCAGCGTGTCAGCCGCTGGAGGGTGTCGAGGCTTGGCTGTCGCTGGTGGGCGGATAACGGGCTAGGTAATCGTGGGTTTTGACGAGGAAGCTTCCCAATAGTCGACAAGCAGCAGTGAGTTGGCATACATCGAGACAGAGGTCCAATCAGGGGGTCAGTCTGCAGTCTCCAAGCTCTCGTCGACCTCTGGCCATCTGCGTGGGCATGTGGGCATGCCACGTTACCGGGAAGAAACAGCATCAGGGCAAAGGGGGCGGTCTCCTCATCTCACGCTTTCGGCAAGAACGCGGTCAGGGCGAGAGCCCTGGGATAGGGTGGCCAGGTCAGTGGCCAAGAGCTGGGGACAATTCGGCAGGTGGTTTCCAGGTGGCTTCGGCTTGCCCCCCGTTGGCTTGGGCTCTCTTTGGGTGACCCCCGTCGAGAATCTCGAGGCGTTCCTTCTGCCGTGACCCCATCTGTGGGGATCAGAACTGTACCACTCGGATGCGCAGATGCGACGGGTAAGTGGGTTGGTGGGTGTGACCCCTTCAATCGAGAGTCATAACTTAGAGGCGCTTTCTCTCCCTCTCTTTTTCTCTCACTCTCGTTCTATATCTCTCTCTCTCACTCTCTCTGTCTCTCTCTCTCTCTCTCTCTCCCTCTCTCTTCCACCTCCTCCTCTCTGCAGCCCAGGCCTTCCCGCTTCCCCCTCCCACCCCCGCTGCCTGGCCACCTCCTTCCCTTCTCCTCCCCCCCCTGCCCCTCCTTTCCTCCTCCTTCCCTTGCCTCCCCTTCCACGCACCCGCCCCCCTCCTCGTGCTCTCCCTCTTCCTCTTCCCGCCGCCCCCCCCCGCGCCTCCCGGGTCTCCCAGGCCCCCCCCCCCAGGGACGCGAAGCGAACCGCGCCTCGCGCGCCGCGGTCCGGGCCAGGGCGGCTGCCCTTCTCCATAGCGTCGGCGCGAGGGCGCGAAGACGACCCCCGCCTCGCGCGCCGCGGGGCGCGGCGCGCGAAGCTGGGCGACCCCGGCCTTCCGCTCCCTACGGGAGCGGCCAAGAGGGGGGGTGATGACAAGGGGGCGGGGATAGCACGGCCCATGGCCAGGGCCACGATGCCTCCCCGGATCTCGTGGCGCCTCTTCCTGCCTCGGTGCGGCCCTCGGCCCACCCCCCTGGGCCACGCGCACGTGCCTCCGGCCGTGCTCTGCGAACCCCCCCTCGTGGACGCCCCCTCCCGGAGGAGGAGGAGGAGGAGGAGGAGGAGGAGGAGGAGGAGGAGGAGGAGGAGGAGGAGGAGGAGGAGGAGGAGGAGGAGGAGGAGGAGGAGGAGGGAGGAGGAGGAGGAGGAGGAGGAGGAGGACCTCCGCCCCCGGCGCCCCTCGCTCGCTCGGCCCCCGCCGCGCTCTGCCGACCCCCGCCGCCGAGCCGCCCGCCGCGATGGCCCGCTCGTCTTCCGCCCTCGCCTCCACGGCAGCCGGGGCGGGGGGGGGCAGACCTCCTCCTCCTCCTCCTCCTCCTCCTCCTCCTCCTCCTCCTCCTCCTCTACCTCCTCCACCTGCGACCGCGAGCCCGGGATACCCTTGCCCAGACGTTTCCCCCCAGGGCGTGATGAGGAGATGCTCAGGCAGCAGTTGGGAAGGAGCCGAGGAGGCCCCATCTTCCTTCTCTGGTCGCTGCTAGCGCCCGTTTGCAGTGGTCGTCGTTCCAGGAAGTCCGAGGTGCGCTGACGGGCCACAGAGTTATTCCGCGAGCCGCGCCGATCGAAGTCCTTGCCGAGATTGCCCCGCCAGCAACAACCCAGGGCCCTTGACAGCGAGTGAATCTGGGATGCCGTCGCCCCGATGCCCGCCCGATCTGAATCCCGAAGGCCCCAAGGCACAGGCACCGCGATCGACGCTGGGGTACTCGACGCCCCCGTTTGGGCTTCGGCTGGCTTCAGACGTCCTTCCAATTCCGGGCCCCAGCCAGGTTTTTGCTCAGAATTCCGGCTACCCAGGAGCGCGCCCTCCGCCCGCGCCGGGCCCCCGCGGGGCGGCGTCCGGCCCTGTCCCGCGCTCCGCGTCCCCGCGTCTTCGGGCCGCCTGTCCTCGGGAGGGCGTAGAGGGAGGGAGGGAGGGGTGGGGCAACGGCAAGGGGGGATGTGCTCAAGGGGGAATGCATCGACCCCCAATCGCCCATTCGTCGCCTGCAGGGGCCGGACGGCCCCGCTTGCCCAGGACCGTGCGGTTCCTCTGTCGGGGGCCTGTCGCCGATCCATCGGCGATGTGTCGCCGATTCAATGAGCCGGTCCCCGCCATCGTCCCCCTGAAGGCTGGGGCGGGAGGGGGGCCAGGGAGGTCTGCCGTTCTCTCGGCTCTCTCTCTCTCTCTCTTTCTCTCTCTCTCTCTTTCTCTCTCTCTCTCTTTGTTGCCCTTGTCCTCCGTGCCTCCGTGCTCCCTGACCGCCTCTTAGCGGAGCCTTCTCCCTCTATCGCTCTCGTCCTCGTCATTGCCGCCAACTCTCCGTCCCCCTTGCGCCTGCGTCTCCCCTCACCCTCTCCCGCCTCGCCGCGCTCCGCTCCCTGCTCCTCCTCTCCGATGGCATGCGGCGTTCCAGGCGCCTCTTCGCCCGGCGCCTGCTTCGCCCCCCGACCCACGACGACCCACGACGACCCCCCGACTGCCGCCCGTGCCCCCCGGCCCCACCCCGCCCCTCGCCCGCCCCCGACGTGCGTGCTTGCCTGCTGCTGCCCTTGCCTCCCCCCTCTCCTGCTCGTTGGCCCCCGCTCGCCGTGGTTTCCCTCTTCCCCCTCCCTCCTCCTCCTCCTCCTCCTCCTCCTCCTCCTCCTCCTCCTCCTCCTCCTCCTCCTCCTCCTCCTCCTCCTCTTCCTGGCCCCCCTCCATGCATGGCGCGGGCGCGCGCGCCTAACGGCGGGGTCTGGTGCGGCCGCGTCTTCGCCCCGTGCGCTCTCGCCGCGCGTTGTGCGCAGCGGTCGTTTCCCCCTTCGTCTTCGTCTCCTTCCACCTCCTTCCCCTGTGTTCTAGTCTCCTCTCTGCCGCCGCCTTGCGCGCGTCCGCCCGCGAAGGCGGCCGGGCGCGGCCAGCAGAGGCTTGTTTTCCTCCAGCCTGGGTCATGGGCTGCGGCTCGCAGGCCGATAGTGGATTAGCTTCTGCACGACATGCATTTTCCAGCTAGAGGCCAATGCTACCATCTTCTGGGCCTCGTCCCACGTCAAACCAGGTCGGCCGTGTCTCCACCAGCGCTGGTCCCTCTTGGTAGCTGCCGTATCCCTCCTCCGTTCTGCCGCGGGGGGTGCCCTTTTCTGAGGCTGCCAGAGTTTCGCGCAGCTGTTCGCCCGCTTGCCCACTCGCAGTATGGGTGTGGTGGTGGTTTTGGGTCCGGTTCCGGTTCCGGTTCTGGTTCTGGTTCCAGTTTTGGTTTTGGTTTTGGTTTTGGTTTTGGTTCTGGTTTTGGTTTCGGTTTCGGTTTAGGTTTTGGTTATGCTTCCTGTTTTCTTCTTCTTCGGGTCCTGAAGAAGATCCCTCTAGTCACGGTTCTGATTCCAGTTCCGGTGTCGGTTTTTTGTTTTAAAAGACCCACCAGGTAGCGGTTTCGGTTTTGGTTTTGGTTCCGGTTCCGGTTTCTTTCTTCTTCCAGCCTCGAAAAGAGACCTCCCAGGTCTCGGTTCTCGTTCTGGTTCCGGTTCTGGTTCCGGTTCCGGTTTCTTTCTTTTTACAGCTTCGAAGAAGACCCCCTTGGTCACGGTTTTGGTTCCGGTTTTAGTTCGGGTTCTTATTTCTCCCAGCCCCGAACAAAACCTTGATCAAGGTTCTGGTTCGGGTTCCGGTTTTGGTTACGGTTTCTTTTTTCTTCCGGCCCCAGAGAAACCCCCCCAGGTCACGATTTTGGTTTTGGTTGTGGTTTTGGTTTCAGTTTTCTTTTTCTTCCAGCCCGGAAGAAGACCCCCCAGATCACCGTTCTGGTTCCAGTTCTGGTTTTGGTTCCGGTTTCGGTTTCCTTCTTCTTCCAGCCCGGGACTCCAAGGTCACCGTTCTGGTTCTGGTTCCGGTTTTGGCTCCGGTTTCGGATTCTTATTCTTCCAGCCTCGAAAAAGATCCACCTTGTCACGGTTTTGGTTCCGGTTTTGGTTTGGCCCCGAAGAAGACCCCTCTGGTCACGGTTTTGGTTCCGGTTCCGGTTCTGGTTCCTGTTTTCTTTTTCTTCTGGCCCAGAAAAAGACCTTTTGGTCACGGTTCCAGTTATGGTTTTCTTTCCGGTTCCGGTTTCTCTTTTCTTCCAGCCCAGAAGAAGACTGCGAAGGCCTTACGGCCGGTGCCGCCGACCCTGGAGGGCGACCCATGCGTTCTCGTATGTGGCGGGGGGGGCCTCTTGGGGCTTCCTGGGGGCGGGGGGGGCGTCGTATCTGAGTGGCGCCCCCCCCCCGGGACCCCCCCCCGGGACCCCCCCGCTACCCCCCCCCCCCCTCCCGGCGGGGGAGGGATCAAAGGGAAGGGGCTTCCCTTCGACTCAAATACGACGTTGCTGAAGTTCATTTGGGCTGGCGCGCTTGAGCAGGGGCCCCTGCTGGGAAAGAGGACGGGAGTGGCGACGGGCCCACGGAAAGGGAGGCGCAAGGAAGGGGGACGACAGAGACGACGACCAACGAACAACGGGGATGACGTCTCGAACGGAAAAGCCCCTCACACACGCCGACAGGGTCGGCGGATTTCCAGGTCACGGTTTTGGTTATGGTTTTGGTTTTGGTTCCGGTTCTGGCTCCGTTTTTTATATTTTTTATTTTTGTTGTTTTTTTGATGTTTTTTTTTTTTTCGGGGGGGGGGGGGGGTTCTTCTTTGTCACGCCTCGAAAAAGATTTCCCTTTGGTCACGGTTTTGGTTCCAGTTCCTGTTGCGCTGAAGGTTTTTTTCTTGTCGTTTTTTCTTCTGGCCTGGGAAAAAACTCCCCAAGTCACGGTTCCGGTTCTGGTTTTGGTTCCAGTTCCGGTCTTGTTTTTGTTTTCTTCTTCCAGCTGGAAGAACCCCCATCTCACGGTTCCAGTTCCGGTTCTGGTTCCAGTTTTCTTTTTTTCCATCTTCGACCCAGCTGGTGACATTTCTATCGGCCCTGAAGAAGCCCCCTAGGTTACGGTTTTGGTTTCAGTTTCTGTTTTCATTTTGTTTGACAGACCCCCCGGGTCGCAGTTCTTATTTTGGATCGGGCTTCCTCTCTCTCTCCAGCGTCGAAGAAGTGTTTGGTCACGGTTCCTGTTTCCGTTCTGGTGCCGGACTTTTTTTGTCCTCCAGCTTTTGGTCTCGGTCTTGGTTCCTGTTCTGGTTCTGGTTTTTTGTTAGGTCCACTTTCGAGCATGCCCTTCGTCATGGCGCCAGTTCTGGTTCCCAGCCTCAAAGAAACCCCCTCTGGTCAAGGTCCCGGTTCACGTTCTGGTTCCGGTCTTTTTTTCCCCAAGCAGTGTTTGCATTTAGGGAGAATGAGGCCTGGCTGTCGGTCTGGCACCTCCGTACTCGCCGTCGCCGCCCCTTCGCCGCCTCGTCGATCCCCGTGGCCTGGGCCTGGCTGTGTGTGGCGGCTACGTGCTCGTCGTCGCTGCCCCTTCGCCGCCTCGTCGATCCTCGCGGGGTCTGGGCGCGGCTGGGCGGTTTGGCTGTTGCGTGCTCGCCGTCGCCGCCCATTGCTTTACATCGTTTTGCACTGCATTGCTCCGCATTGCTGTGCATGCCGCTGCATCGAGTTGCATTGCTGCGCTGCGTTTAGCATTGGTTTGCTCTGCACTCACTCTCCCTCCTCCCTGTGGCGCTGCGTTGCCGCGCATTGCTTTGCATTGTTCTCGACGATTTGAGTTGCTTGCGTCGCTTCGCAATGTTGTCGTGGCGTTTCGCTGCTTTGCGTGGCTTCGCGTTGCTTCGCATTGTTTCGCGTTACTTTGCGACGCTACTACAACGCCTAGCAAGGCAAGGCGCATTCCAAGGCAAAACCAAAGGGAATGCAAAGCAATGCCGAGAAATGCCAAACAACGAGAGAAGGAGGAGAAGGAGGAGGAGGAGGAGGAGGAGGAGGAGTAAAGAAGGATGAAGAGGATGAAAAGAAAGAGGAGGGGAAGGGAGATACGCCACGGCCAACGGGGAGGAACAAAATCAACGTCGACGACGACTACGACGACGACGACGGAGGCGACGACGACGACGCCGACGACGACGGCCACGACGACGACGACGACAGGAGCATACTTGAGAGGCCTCTGCGGATCTTCGCTCTGGGAGCCTGGCGCGCGCCTCCTGGAGCCGCGTGGGAGCCGCGCTGCACGCCCTCCTCGGCAAGGGGATTCGCATCCGGGTTGCATCGGGCCTGGCTGTCGATCTGGCGGCTCCGTGTTCGCCGTCGCCGCCCCTCTGCCGCCTCGTCGACCCCCGTGGTCTGGGCCCGGCCGGCAGTCTGACGGCCGCGTGCTCGCCGTCGCCGCCCACTGCTTTGCA